TGTATTCCTGGATGTATATTTAATAATTAAGGATCTCTGGGAGTCTCTATTGAAATAAACTCTGTGATAAATAGATTATTAGTTTATTATACAAATAATTACCATCTAATTACTCCTTTATAAAAGCCGGGGTTTCCTAAGAACCTACATGTTTAGTTTTGTTGTAAGTGAAAGAAAATGGTGAGTAGAATGAAGATACCAAAGATCTGATGTTTGGTGACATGCTCAAATTTGTCTGCCAGCACTTCCAGTAGTGGGACTTTGTGGGAAATACTCAACTTTTCTCAGCCTCAATCTCTTCATCTGATAGATGGAGTTATTTCTTGGAGTTGTTTTGTGGATTAAATAAGATGATCCATTTATAATGCTCCTTGTATATTGACTGTCACACATTAAGCACTTAAAACCTTTTCCTTGCCAATCGCTTAATATAAATTCAAGAAATATGTAGTTTCCGTTATATATTTCCTCAGCATACCTGCTACAACTGCTTATTTTGCAACATATAAGCCACAAAAGACCCAAATGATTTACAAGCAAATTTAATACTATGGACCACTAGGAAAATTTCACTCTTATATACTAAAGTCATAGAATCCTAGAATTTTGAAAATTTTTTCTGTCTTTTTAAAGAAATGAGGGGTAGGAGCTGGGGAAAAAAAAGAAGGAAAAAAGGTATCATATTCAAGAGTTCCATCCATTTCTGATTTAAAATCAAGCTTTGCTCAGAACATCATTCCTTTATCACCAATTCTTAAAAACATCAGAAAAAACCTGCCATGTAGAGAATCCCACATACAGCTTCCATCCCACTTTGCTCACTCTAAGTTCCTGACTGATGGTGTCTCTTGTGGGGTGTTTGGGGGGAGAACAGATTATTATCTAAGGCACTACAGATAAGTAGTAGCTGATGACCAACACAGCTAAAATCAGCTTCTCTGCCCAACTGATGGCGTAGGACTTCCCCTAAAGAACAACACCCAGTACATTACCGCTAGAGTTCTACAAATTAAAGCCAGATGGATGAAGTGCTGCTAAAAGAAAGTTATGAAGCCAAAAGAACAACACTCCTTCTCCCTCTCTGTCAAAAAATGTTTAAGAGAAATCCGACTGATTAATGGGTTAGTCCCCAGTTGCACTAATTTAAAAGATAAACAAACCAACAGCTTAAAGTTGCAAAATTCCTTACCAGCTAGCTATTCTTAAATATATTATTTTAAATATAAACAAGCCTCTATAAGTTATACTCAGACTTACATAAAATCACTATACATTTTTTGTTATAGAAAGTTTATTATAAAAAATTTTGCACTTGTTTTTGTTAAAATTTTTAATACATTTTGTGTTCTTGTTTTTGTCAAAAAAGCTGCCTTTTTAAATTTTATTTTTTTAAAGAGACAGGTTCTCCCTGTTTTGCTGATGTTAGTCTTGAATTCCTTGGCTCAAGCAATCTGCTTGCTTCAGCCTCTGAAAGTGCTGGGATCGCAAGTGTGAGCCACTGTACCCAGTCGGCTGCCTTTTTTTAAAGACTTGAAAAGAAATAGATAATAAAGGCTTCACACAATGTACAAAGACATGAAGAAAAAAAAAATCACAGTTGAAATTTCTTATTATACATTATAATCTAACTTCTAGGACACTGATTTAGTTTAAGTGCACATCAGTGGTTCTTACTGTAGGCAATTTTGCCTTCTTGATCCCAACTAATGTCCCCAACATTTAGCAATGTCTAGAGGGTATTTTTGGTTGTGACGAATGCTGGGGTCATCTGGTGGGCAGAAGCCAGGGATGCTACAAAACAGTCTATGATGCTCAGCTTCCAACAAAGTAATAGCTTGTGCCAAATGTCAACAGTGTCCAGATTAAGAAGCCCTGGTCTACATTATCAAGCAGTTGGATTATTCTACTTGTCTGTATGTCTAACTCTTGTCTCTTCTTCCCTTTCCAACAGCACCAGATTAATATTCCCAGGGTGGTGCTTTTATTACATAATTCCTCTGCTCAAAAACTCTTCTGCTCATTTAATAGTTATTCATTACCAATGTACATTAAATCTAAATTTTTCATTCAAAGATCCATACCCTTTGAATCCATGTTAGATGTTGTCCCTCAACATTTTACCCCCAGCCAAAAGTACTCCTTCACCATCTAATGATCTCTAAAGCAGTATCAAGTATGTAGTACCAATTGCTATATTGCTTATGAAACCAATTTTCAAAAAGCTTATTTACAACTTCATCCAACATCTCTGTGAAGTCTTACCCCTAGGAATAATTGCTAAATCTATATAAAATCTCTTTGCTTCTTTTTTAAATACCAATTTCATCAGGTGACTTTTATAAATACCCAAAAAGCTCTCACTGAAGTCACTTAGGCTAGTGTGTCTTTCCAAATAGTTACCATTAAAAATAAAAGATCTGACAGAACTTCTGCCTCATATGTGAGATTTTTGTAAGGACTCAAATATAAGTAATACTCTTCTGAGAGGTAGTAACTTGAGACAGAATTTTAATTTAGGCATATATGGTATATCAGGCTGGCCATTCTATGTTAAAACTTTAAAGAAAAAAATGCAAAAAATAGTTGTTCATCTTTTCTGTCAACTTTTTCCTATGCCTAGTAATACCATCAACTCTGAGACATTCCAAGAAAGAAAACAATTTTCCAACTCATTCTCATTGCTTTCCAAATGCATGTAATCTGTCGTTACAGTTTTTTTTAAGACAGTATGTTTATATCTGTCCTATTTTTATTCTCTTCTTTACTAATTCTTTCCCATCTGCAACACTATCCTTGATCATTGATCTTTATCATTGTAGTCAAAGTTGCCAGTTCTTCTCACTGCTCCAAATCATCCCTTCTTGAATGGCTTCTTCTTATACTATACAACCAAAAATCTCACCTAGTCATATCCTATAACTTTCTACCGCTATCTCAAAAATCTAGTGAACAATGCTACTGTGAAAAACAGGCAAATCTGACCTTTAAGCCTTAAAAATACCCAAGTGTGTAATTACTAACAAAAGTACTTTAAGTACAAACAAGAAACCTGATGGGTACTATCTAGAAATAGGCTACATATTTCTTTTCTTTTCCATGCTTTTATAACGTCTGAAATTATTATTAAATGGTGGTTATAGACTGTCACTGCAACTAGTTTATCACTTCAGAAGACTTCTGGAGCCAGAGAAAGCAAAAAAAAAAAAATTATTAAAACAAAATTACAAGGATATGCAACAGAAATTAAACAACTTGAGTAATCTGCTTATCTATTTAAGCTCATGCTAGGCCTAAAAAAACTGTGTATATATAATTATCTTATCTATAGCCATAGAATAAAAAAAATTTTTAAAGAAACGCTATACTGTTAAGAAGAATTTGGATGAAAATAGCTCTAGAAGAACTGATACAACTTACAGACAGGTAAATTTCATAAGGTATAATCTTAGGTTTTATGAATTCAAACACTAATAGCTGCTATCTGTAAACAGCTGGAGAAGAAGCCAAACTAGAAGAAATGAGTATTTCATGCTGTGAAGAAAAATTAAACAAACAGGAAAGTAGTGGTATGTTAAAATATTTACTATTTGATATCTCAAGCCTTTTAAGGGCAATATGAAGGAATTTATAAAAATTGGTTTGCTTTGTAACTTCAAAATTAAGTCCATGACTCAATGACAGCAGTTGATATAGGTCAATTCTGATCGAGTCAAACATCATATGGTAGGATGAAGTCTCCCAGACCTGGTCCATCCCCAAGGCACAAAGGATTCAGTTTCTCCAGCTGTGGGGGGGCCCGGGGAGGGGGAATGACTTGGCACCGCATCACATACTTAAAATCCAATAGGGTTTCGTTAATGTAACACGGCACTGTGCGTCAAAGCATATCTTGGTGTAAGGGCGGTGAAATGGACAGAAAAAACATTATTTGTCTTTCATTTCCTGAATGCCTTATAAACATGCACAACAAAATGCTCCTGATCCCCTTCACCGAGGATGAAAACAACCCAGATGTGCCCTTTCCACCCGCTCCCCTGGTATAGGTGCTTGCACCTCAGCACTGAGGCTTGGAGTTGTCTTCTCAAATCATCATTGTCCGGTGGGAAATTCCCCGAGAAAGGCAACGTGGGCTAGGAAGTCTGTTACCAAAATAGAAATTAGTATTAAAAAGACCGATCCTACTCTCCCCTCCACCCTCTCACATAAGACAAAAACAAAAATAAAACCCCCGCAAACTTGCCCTACCATCGCTAACATCATACAAGCTCTGATCAAATGTGCTTCTCGATCATCTTTGAGGCAAGAGAGCGTCCGCGGTGCGTTTTCGGACCCTCATCTCCCACCCCAGGTCAAGCCAGGCCCCTGGACTGACAGGAAGGGCTGGCCGGACGTTGGCTTGGACCGGAATGGCGGTTATGCTCAACGAAACCGCTCACACTAAGGGTGAAAGTAACGAAGGGCCCGAGGTAACATGGCTTAGGTTGCGGGCAAGGCCTCCGAACTAAAGATAGGCAGGACTCGGAGGCAGTAGAGGCGGGAGAAGCAGCCCGGCCTAGGCCGCACCAGGCCGCGGAGTGGCCCTACGCTGCTTCCCCGACCAAGGCTGTGAGCCAGGCCTCAGAGAAGAGAGTTATCATTACCTGGACGGGTTCCTGCAGCACCGTCATCCTCGAGGATCACTTTCTGCAGTGCCTCAAGCCCCCCCGGTAGCGGCTCCGGCCCGGCCAGCCCCGGCTCATTTAAACTCACCAGCGACCGTTACCGGGGGATTGGGGAGGCCGAGCGTTGCCGAGCGCCTCCGAGCGGGACACGGAAATACCCGAAGTGGAGAAAGCCGAGCGGAAACGAGACGGAAAGGCCCGAAGTATGTCGGAAATACCCGAGGTGGGTCGACGAGGAAAAACCGTTGCCGGAAATTGTCGAGGATTACCGGAAACTACCGAGTCTGACCCTGAGCGTAAGTTCCTCTTCTCGGCCACGCCTTCAGCCACGCATACCACGCCCAATCGGCCGTCCTAGGGCTGGGCCACGCCCAAGCAGCAACCAGCAGGCTGGGCGTGGCGTGACGGAACTGGCGAGGAGCGTTACGTGGCGGGGCTGCAGTGTGGAGTCGCCACTCGGCCCTCCTGGATTTATTGGTGTGCAGTAGATTATAATATAGTAAAGGGTAAAACAGCAGAGTTTGGGGCTGACTATAATAAATCAACAAGTATTTGTCTATTGAGTTTAGATTATTCGTCCATTCCAAAAGTATCTACTCACGGCTCGGGGAAATCTAAAGAAATTTGGAAAGATTGCCACTCCCCAAAGATAAAGGATAGCTTGTCTTCAAGGAGAGTAAGGCCTATTTAAGGGAAAAGCAGTGGAACAGAGAACGCTATGTTACGTGGTGCCTATTATAAGTAATACACAAATTCAGAGAGGGAAATTGTGTTAAACTGAGGAAAGTTTTATGGAAGGGAAAAAAAGTTTAAATTGGAGTTTGAAGGATGGATAGAATTAGAGGAAAAGGAACTATAGGATTAAGTGGAGGGAAGAAAAATGAGATCAGTCTGCTAAGAAGGCATTAATTGGAAGTACTTAGGTGGAGAGATCATGGAAACGCTCAATAAGCCGTTAGAAAAAAAATTTTTTTTTTTTGAGATGGAGTTTCGCTCTTGCTACCCAGGCTGGAGTGCAATGGCGCGATCTCGGCTCACCGCAACCTCCACCTCCTGGGTTCACGCAATTCTCCTGCCTCAGCCTCCTGAGTAGCTGGGATTACAGGCACGCGCCACCATGCCCAGCTAATTTTTTGTATTTTTAGTGTAGACGGGGTTTCACCATGTTGACCAGGATGGTCTCGATTTCTTGACCTCGTGATCCACCTGCCTCGGCCTCCCAAAGTGCTGGGATTACAGGCGTGAGCCACCGCGCCCGGCCAGAAATTTTTGTTTTTGATAGGAGAGGCATTCCGCTGTGGTAGAAACAGTAGGGGATCTGAAATTCAGAGGCCTGGTTTTGAATTTTAGTTTTAGCACTGACAAGTCATAGGTCCTTAGGCAAATTATAACCTCTCTGAAATTCTTCTGTTCGCTTAGTTTGAAAAAAAAAAAAAAAAGGATTAAGAGACTTCGATGTATCACCAATGTGGCTCTGTCTAGCACGCACTGTAGACTCTCATACCTTTCTGTCCCTCCTCTCCCCCCAAAAAAGTGAACCAGGGAACTGTTGAAATTTTGTTTTTCAGCAGATAAGGAAAACAGGTTTAAAAGTTTACTAGTCAGGAGTTCTCTAAGCTAGAAGTGGACTCATGATACATTCTGTTGCTTGGAAATTTCCCTTTATGGTTCCCACGTTTTATGCAGATGACGTTGTTAAAACAGGGCTGACAGAGCTACACTGCATCCTTCTCCACCGCCTTCTCTTGTCACTGTGTATGTACTTATAGTCCCTCAAAGGGCAGGTGCTAAGGTGATTTTTGACTGCCCTGTGCCCAGTTGCTTTAGCAGGATCATGCTGGATGACTTAGGGTGGTAACAGACTTTTATACTGGCCTATATAGTAGCCACTAGCTATTTAAAATTTAAGTTAAAAGAAAATGAAATTAAAAATGAAATCTTCAGATGCCCTAGCCACATTCCAGGGACTCAGTAGCCCTGTATGTGGCTAGTGACTGCCACACTGGACAATCACACAGATACAGGACATCACCAGCATTGGCTTGGCTAGGGCTGGAAGAGCCAAGATGGCTTCACTCACATGTCTAGGGTGTCAGTGCTAGCTGCTGGCTGAGTGCTTCATTTCTCCTCCACATGACCTTTCTCTTCACATTGGCCTCTTATCAGCCAGTAGTCTAGCTCCAGCTTCTTCACTTGGTGGCTGACAACAAAGTGGGCAAAAATAGAAGCTGTGAGGCCCCTTAGGCCTAGACCTGTGACCATTATTTCTTGTTGGTCAAAGTAAGACTCAGAGTCACCCTGAATTTACCAGGAAGAGAAAGAGAGTCCACCTCTTAATAAGAAGAGTGGCAAAGTAACACCACACAAGGCATGTGCCATGGGAGGGGTTGTTGGGTCATCTTTGGAAACAATGTACCATGCTAGCTGTGAGACGAGAGCATCTAACATTGGGAATGGAAAGGAAGAGTAAGAGCTATCACTCTTAAAATGTGACCCTCCCTCTTTTTTTTTTCTTGAGACAGTCTTGCTCTGTCGCCCAGGGTGTAGTGCAATGGTTTGATATAGGCTCACTGCAACCTCCACCTCATGGGTTCAAGCAATTCTGCCTCAGCCTCCTGAGTAGCTGGGATTACAGGTTCCATGCCCAGCTAATTTTTGTATTTTTTTAAGTAGGGGTTTCACCATGTTGGCCAGGCTGGTCTCAAACTGCTGACCTTGTGATCTGCCCACCTCAGCCTCCCAAAATGCTGGGATTACAGGCTGTGAGCCACCATGCCCGGCCAAAAATGTGACCCTTTTAACTGAACACAGTACTCCAGATTTATTCTGATCAATTCAGAATGCAGTTGGACTATTGTTTTTATTATCTGGACACGTCTATTAAAGTGGTACAGTTGTATTTACATTTTTAGCAGTCACATGACACTATTTGCTCATGCTAAACTTGTGTGATAATTTTACAAACTCAGCTGTTTTTTACACAACATGCTGCCAACCCAATTCTTGTATGTGTGCTGCTGAGTTTTGTAAACCTAAATGTAGGAACTTACCACAGAAGATACATAAAGATGATACTTTGTATGTGAAAATATGGATCTAGAGTCAGCATTTAAAGAGTCTCTGATGCGTGGCATTCTGGCTCATAGGTTTAGAATTTGCCTAAAGCTTTTTTTCTTTCTTTTTTTTTTTTTAAGGAGCAGGCTGAGCCTCTTAGGGTCTGTGTCCTGATACTGTCCCAACAGGGTGACCAGGGGTGGAAAGACACAGGAACTCCAGGGTGCTAGGCTCTTTTTGTCTTTCCTTTTTTTCTTTCCTTTTCTTTCTTTTCTTTCTTTCCTTTCTTTCTTTCTTTTTTTTTTAGAGGGGAAAAAGAGAAAAAGAAGGGGAAAAAAAGAAAAAGAGGGAAAAAGGAATATTACTTCATTCCTAAAATGGGTTTCAATAATGGCCGATCAATATTTTGAGTGTTTAAAGTGGTTAATGCATATTTTATGTGTTTAAAATGGAGACCTCTATTGTGTTTATTTGTTCTGGCTCTGAGTTCAAGTTCTGGATATCGTTATCAATTTGTTGTCTCCTTGAATCTAAATCTCATTATGTGTCTTATGTATCTGGGTGTTAAGATCTCTTATTGTTACATTAATCCTTTTACCCTTGCATCCTTGTAGCTTTGAAATCTATTTTATTAAGTATGAGAATTGCAACTCCTGCTTTTTATTTATTTATTTTTGCTCTCCATTTGGTTGGTGAGTTTTTTTCCATCCCCTTGTTTTGAGTCTTTGTATATCTTTAGATATATCATTAGATTTTGTGGATAATGTATATTTTGTGTGTTTAAAATGGAGAGCTCTATTGAGTTTATTTGTTCTGGATCTTAGTTCCAGTCCCGGATATCGTTATCAATTTTCTGTCTCGTTGTATCTAAATCTCATTATGGGTCTTATGTATCTGGGTGTTAAGATCTCTTATTATTACATTAATCATTTTACCCTTGTATCCTTGTAGCTTTGAAATCTATTTTGTCAAATGTGAAAATTGCAACTCCTGCTTTTTATTTATTTATTTTTGCTCTCCATTTGGTTGGTACTTTTTTTTTCCAACCCTTTATTTTGAGTCTGTGTATATCTTTGGATATACCGTTAGATTTTGTCTGTATCTTTTGATTGGGAGATTTGGTCGATTTAAATTTAGGGTTGCTGCCATTTGCTATTAACTGGCTATTTTGTCCTTTCGTTGATGAAAATTCTTCTTTTTGTTAATGCTCTTTACTTTTTGGTGTATTTTTAGAAAGGGTCATACTGGTTGTTCCTTTCTGTGTATAATGCTTCTTTTAGAAGTTCTTGTAATGCAAGCCTGGTGGTAATAAAATCTCTGAGTACTTGCTTGTTCCTAAAAGATTTTATTTTTCCTTCAAATGTAAAGCTTAAATTGGCAGGATATGAAATTCTGGGCTGAAAGTTCTGTTGATTAAGTATATTGAATATTGGCCCCCACTCTCTTCTAGCTTGTAGGGCTTCCGTTGAGACATCTGCTGTAAGCCTAATAGGCTTCCCTTTATGGGTAACTTGATCTTTCTCTCTGGCTGCCCTTAATATTTTCTCCTTCGTTTCGATCTTGGTGAATCTAACGATTATGTGCCTTGGGGTTGGTCTTCTTGAGGAATATTTTTGTGGTGTTCTCTGTATTGCCTGGGGTTGAATAGTGTCCTGCTTTGCTAAATTAGGAAAATTTTCCTGGATAATGTCCTGGAGAGTATTTTCCAGCTTGAATTCATTCTCTCCGTCACATTCAGGTACACCAATCAAGCGTATATTAGGTCTTTTCACATAGTCCCATATTGCTTGGAGACTTTGCTCATTCCTTTTTATCCTTTTTTCTCTGTTCTTGTCTTGTCGTTTTCATTAAGTTGGTCTTCGACCTCTGATACCCTTTCTTCTGCTTGATCCATTCGGCTGTTTAAGCTTGTACATATTTCACTAAGTTCTCGTGTTGTATTTTTCAACTCCATAAGTTTATTTGTATTCCTCTCTATATTGTCTATTCTTTTCAACATTTCATCTAACCTTTTTTCCAAGTTCTTAGTTTCTTTACATTGGGTTAGAACAAGTTCCTTTAACTCCCAGAAGTTTCTTATCATCCACCTTTTAAAGCCTACTTCAGATAATGAAACACAGTCCCTTCCCATCAGGGCTTGTTCCGTTACTGATGAGTCCTTTTCCATCAGGGTTTGTTCGGTTGCTGATGAGTCCTTTTCCAACAGGGCTTGTTCCGTTGCTGATGGGTTCTGATTTTGAGTATACTCCGTCTTCTTAGGCTGTTTTTTTCCCTTCATTGTAGATGAACCGCCTTTCTAATTAGGTTTCTGAGTCGACATCCGACTTATTGATTCCCAGTGCTGGGATCCGAGCAACCCACTGTGGCAGCCTAAATAGCAGCGATAAGACTGATGGTGCTCTTCTGCCCGGGAATCTCTGGTC